ACACCTGTACACTATACTCACTGCACACCTGGTGTAGACAGACTGTACTGTACACACCTGTACACTATACTCACTGCACACCTGGTGCAGACAGACTGTATTGTACACATGAACACTATACTCACTGCACACCTGGTGCAGACAGACTGTACTGTACACCTGGTGTTTAGCTAGAATATTGGCTCTTACTAACACTCCATGATGCCCAAGCAGCTAAATCTCTAATTTATATTATATTATATTATACTATTTATATTATATTAAATTTATCAGAGAACTGATGAGGGCGTCATCTCATTGGGCTGATGTCAGTCCAGTACAGTCTCCTTAGTGGGCAGATGCCAGCACATGTGCACTAATAAATCAACCCAGTGCAAACCAAATGGACCATTTTCAAAACCTCTGGTTCCTGCGCTCGGCCTTCTGAAACTTCAAACAGAGTCTGCAGCTCATTTGCTCAAAATGTGAAAAGGCTATTTCTGTTGCCCCATCTCCCACTTACCAACTGCTTGCAATGTTGTTGCTGCAGTGTAAACCATGCTTCACAAATCTACCTTGTCAATGAGTTGGTATGGCAACCAGCCTATATACGGTAGTTAAGAAATATAAATAGATGGATCATGAAAGTACAAGGTGTCCTGCTCTTTTGAATTCTTGGCCTTTCATCATCAAATGCAAGACCCTTTCTTGTGGTCAAACCTGAGTTTATAATAGGGGAAGCAAAATGTTCTAATAGACAACAGGCCAGGTGTTGGTACGTTTGTAACGAATTACAGAAGGAACCTTCCACCTGTGACTCCAGGGTTAGTGTATAGATCAGTCTGTGGTCAGGATTAGGGTTTTGTTACTAACATGCAACTTATCTACAGTACAGACTGCTTATTATCACAAATGTTTCACTCTATTAAACTTATAAAATATTCTATGTATAATTTTTTAATAAATGGCATTTTCACATTTCTCTAATGTGAAACATAACCCTTTTACCTTACCTGTAATGGAGAACCTTTAGGGTCATAGTGTGCCTACTTTTACAGCGGCCTCATCACAAGGTTTTCCGGGGAAAACTGAGCACAATGAAAAACGCAAAAAACTGAGGAACCCGATTTAGAAGAGAAGGCCAGAAAAAAACATGGTGACGGACACCTGAAAACCCCATATGTACACGAATAATTCCAGTGAACTTACCTGAATGTACTTCAGACGCGCAACTGTGTTGGCACGTTAATTAAATCTAAGTTTAAAACATTTTCCAACGTTGCAGGTAATGTCTGAAATGTACTTTCTTTACATTTCAGCAGCGCTAAAATCTGTTCTCCTGGGGCACATTGTGCTGGCGTCCCTGCTCTGAGCTGGGCAGGATGTGTGTGGCGAAGGGCACTCACAGGACCAGTCTCTCCACTGGCGACTCCAGAACTAGAACAGCTCCGTAAATCATTTTAATTCTCTCTGGCACAATCACTGCTACAAACAGAGCCCCCCCGGTGCAGAGCGAGAGAGGGAGGGGGGCTGGCTGAGTAATTCGGGGAATCCTGCTCCTGGGATTAGAGAGCTGCAACATGCTCACGGCTGCTGGGCCCCCCGTGCACCTCGCTTCAGGATAACACTCCCGCCGTCAGCAGACCCGCCGGAGTACCTCGGGAAATCTTGTCTTAAAACGCTTTTGAGTGGCTTTCGCTATGAAACAGAGCAGAGAAGGTTCCTCCCGGACACACTTGGCAAAACCGGGAGAGAAAACACATTCCTGACTAGGGAGGGGAAACACATTTTCTGAAT